TAGCATCCATTTATTTATAACATTTATAGGCTGCCCATCTTATCTCAAGATAACTCTGTCCATCACTGAAAGCAATCGATTCCTTTCACCCAAGGATGTTGGAATATGCTTTATTTATAGATTCTGTATAAAGAATTTCTAAACTTTATATTCAATTTATAGAAGCTTTCACTAGCCACTTTGCTAATTTTATTTTATTTTCTAATCAGGGATTGGTGTCCATCAAAGATAAATCTCATCAGGTGATAGTTCAGGGTGTTTATGAGCTCTACGATCTAGAGGAAACAACTGTGAAATGGAAAGAGGATGAACGAATTAATCGAATAGTCTTAATAGGTAAGAATACGTGCATTACATATGCTGGTTGTATAAAACTATTAATTCTACAAAAATGGAAACATTATCAGTATAATCGTTCTTGATACAATCCTACAGAAAATGAATTAAAACCTAATTTCTAAGAAGATATCCTGAAATTTGACAGTACTAAACTTTGCATTTCATTGACATAAATTTCCCTGTGACAATGGATGTTCCCACTCTGACAACTGAGGAAATTACAGCCATTTTTACACTGCTTTCAGCTTGCTTTTTCTGCTGTTTAGAGATCAGATGTAGGAGGAGGATGGGATGAATGCTTGAGCTCAGGTAGCCATAATAATAATGCAGCTTCATGGGCACTCAAGGACACAAACCAACCAATAACGTTTTGGTGGGCTGAGGAGCTGGAGAGGGAGCCTGCGCTTCAGTCTAATTGGAGAATGTGATTTATGACTGCTTCATGGGGGTAGGGAATTGCAACTTGTTACTTTATATCTGGAGGAAGGGAATTTAGTTTTGGGTTCAACTATGTAGTGCCGATGTTTTGTTTCCTGAATAAAATGTTCTTTAAGGAAGAATTCTTGCCTTGAAGTTCTTTAATGGGATTCATCTATCGGAACCATGGCAAGTTGATTCTGCATCTGAATTGGTTTGCTTCCATTTTATTGTTATTATAATCTGTAATCAGAGCAGTTTCTGAATAGTATATTGCAGTCTTGGGCAGTTCTTGCCCAGTCTAAGAATAATTGGAAGCAAAATCATATTTCAGATTTTTTTCATTCTCATATAAAGCTTTTGTATATTTTAAAAGGTGTGGTTTTCAACCAACCAAGTTTCAATTACTATGTTATCTGTATGAATTACTGATCATTTCTTAGGATTACAGTGGTATATAAATATAATAATAAGTAATAAATAAATGAAGCCAAGAATAGAATGCAACTGTTTATTTATCATGTAAATTTCTAATGCAACTACACTCAACAAAGAACAGAAGGGACATGCAAAGAAGGGATGCTGAGTTACCCTCCAATCTATGTCTTAACCTAGATATACACTTTATCCAATAATTAGTTTTACTGGTTTTTAGTAGGGCTACATGCATTTCAGAATGACTTGGAAGAAATTATTTGGACCTCATTCAGCACATCCCTGTTAGCCATTAGAGCAGCCAACTTTATTCAGAAACCTGCATCGTCCTGAAGAAAGCTATAGTTTCTAACACTAAAAATATGCAGAATTAAGAAAAAGCCACCAAAAGGACAGGTTGCTGAAAAGCAAATAACCTCTGTCTTGTTTTAACGTTGATAAATAATGATTTAGTCAAGATTTTGGCACTGAGCTAAAACAATCATACTTCTTTCTTATATTATAAAAGCAAATGAAAGTATTTTGCTTGGGATGGTTTTTCCTTTTATTAACTGAGCATTAATTGTATAAGGTCAGCAATTCTTTATCCCTTTCTTGATACTCCCTTTTTTTAAAGTAAACCTTTATTTCATTATATTAATAAAAACAAAAGGGAAATGGTACAGTATTCTCAGCTGTATGACACTTGTTGTTAACTCTGCTCCACTTTTTAAATGATTAATACAACTTGCATTGCCATAGTCTACATATAGTTCAAGACTAAGAGTTGAGTCAAATTCCCAATCTGTAATACTTTGTTGATGCTCATTGCATAGTAGCCTTGTTGATTAGGCACAGTACTTCTTAGAGAAATAAAACATCGCCAGGAGGTTAAGGTCTGCAGTTATTCCTGGATTTCCACAGAGTTTGCGGCTGAGGTAGCTCTGGAGAATTTGTACAGAGGAATAAGTCAAAAGCATGACAGCTTTTCCTTCAATAATTTACTAAAAATTTAGATAAAAGGCAGATGTTCCCACAGTACAAACTGGGAGAAGGAATATTAGAACTCGAGCTAAGCCAGCCTTCCTTGGAATAAGGAACGTGACAAAATGAAGCGATGGGAGTTGCATTTGATGGACATAACTATTCATCCAAGCAATTACCCGAGCATAGTCAGGACAACAAGCAGATCTGAGCAGTCTTGTCTGTGCAAGAAAGTAACTGAAATAGGCTACATGAGAAGAGATGGATCCACACTGACTTGCTGGGGCTGTTCTTTATCATCTGGTTTTAATTTTTTCGGTAAGCATTGGTTGTATTTCAGGAAACGGTGAAATAGTTTTTCCTTAATGCAAACTATTGTAAGATATTAAAAATGTTTTCCATTTTATGTTATTTGTCCCTAGGAAGGAACCTGGATAGTGATATCCTTAAAGACCTCTTCATAGCAACTGTGACCAAAAGAGGGAGAAATAGTTGATGCCAGAAAAGTGCTTTTTAGCTCTGCATTTTTACCAGTGGATTATTAAAATATCCTGGACCTGTTTTTCTTTTTTAATAGTGGAGCTTTATAAAACTGTTGCTCACATATAGAATATTAAGCCTGAATTTATCCAGAATGAGGAATTAATTCTTAATAAAGTAAATACGTGTATGTTCTTGAAACGTCACTTCTCCGGTCTTTGTTCAGATAGGTTCCATTAAAAAAAAAAAAAAAACCACGGGTCCCCAACTCCCTGTCCGTGGCATGACAGCAACCAGGCCATGCAAACAAGCAAAGCTTCATCCGCAGGATACAGGGAGCATGCAAAACCATGCCCCTTCTGTTCCATGGAAAAGTGTCTCTCCACGGAACCGGTCTCAAAAGGTTGGGGGGCTGCTGCTCTATGAATATTGAAAATTGTTTCTCTAGAGCAGGGGGCAACTTTAAGACCTGTGGAGTTAAACTCCCAGAATTCCTCAACCGACATGAATTCCCAGTTCTGAGAGCTGAAGTCTAGAAGTCTTAAAAGTTGCCAGGCTTGGATACCCCTGTAGTGAAACCACAGCTCAAATGTGAATAGATTTCTTTAGTTTTAATACACTTCTGTTTTTAAAGAATCGGGCTGCCTTATCAAACAAATGGGGATGACAACTTTACTTTAAGTGTGAGCTGGTGGAGAGCATGACTGGTTCTTTAAAGAGAGAGAAAAATCTTGGCCACTCTTCTAATAGATCAGATTTCATATAAATCTTAATAAGGGTTTCGATCTACTTATCAACTATATCTGATTTTCTCAGCCTCAGGGTAATTATTATTTTGTAAGTATTTCAGTGGATACTTTGTAGTAGAACCCTTTGTAGGTCTACTCAGAAGGAAGTCCCATGGGTTCAATAGGATTTACTCTTAAATAAGTAGCTACACATAGATTATTATAGAGGGTATTATGGCCTTCTGAAACTGCTTTGGAGGATTAAAAAAAATACAAATACAGGCAGTCTTGAAATAATATTGCTCCTGAAAATAATCTTGCTTATTTTAGAAAATGATGGCAAGTGGAAGTGGCTGATAGACTTTGAGTGACCTTGAAAAGTTAAAATCAGACTTGTTCTTAAACTGAAATTCTAAACGTTTAGTAAAGAGTAAGATCCATTGGTATAATTGCAGTAAGATTGCATAAGATCAGGTGCCCAGTACTTCTAATCCAGAAATTTGAAATATTTCAAAACAAGGATGTTTTTAGCATGATAGGAAAATAATACATTTTGGTGCATTTGATAAGTAGGTTATTTCTTCAGTTTGACTATTTTTAAAAAAAAAAATATTGGATAACTGCTTTAATACGTTCTGCTATTTCTAGACAGCTTTAAATCTTGGTAATTTTTGTAATTCAGTCCATTATAAATGAACACACTACAGATTGAAATTAAACATTCAACAGTATATCTCAATAAGTAATAGATTATCAGAAAGATTCTGAAATTTAAATATATTTGTCAAATATATGAGTGATGTTACAAGACAGTAGATGTCTTATTTTAATATATTTTGACAATTTCATTTACTACATGGGCAGTTGACAAGAATTTTATTTTTTGTGTGGGTGGGTTGTCTAAGGATAAGGGTGTTTTTTTTCCTCTTTTTTAAATTAAAAACGGTTCTTTTTCTGTATCTGTAAAGTGCTGTCCCTCCATGATTTGGGGAAAAAACCCTACTACTGTAACCATAGCATGCTTGTTTCTTCGTCCATCATTTCTTTCCTCTCAACCTCACTCCACACCTTATATAACCTGAAATACTTGCCCAGTTTATTTTTCCCACTTCAAGAATAAGCCATGCTTTCTTTCCATGAGTGTCCAATTTGCCTTGGTTTACAAAAATTTCCATTGCTTGGAGGCTCTTTTCCAGAATACGATTTCGGGACAGTAAGCCGCTAGAAAGTAGGATAGGCTTTCAAGAAGGCATGCGTCTTTCAGCCAACATTAATTTACCCAAAAAATGGAGCAAAAACCCTATGAGAATTCTGAGCCCAAGAATTTGCTTTAAGACCGTTCCTACTTCTTTCATACAAATGTTGCAGCTCTCTTTATTTCAGCCATCTAATGGGCTGGTTGGCTTAAGTTTTCTGGACCACAGCTTCTGTCACCTGTCACCATTAACCATGTTATCAACGGTTGATGGACTAGATAGTGTTTGGAGAGCCATGCCATGCCCATCTTTTAAGACCCATTCACACGGGACACCTGGATAGGATTTCTGAGTTCACCTTCCTATCTGGCAATGCCTATCAGAGGCAGAGAGGAGGGGGGGTCCCCTCCGAAGCGCTCCCCCCTTCCCCAGAGATCGGAGCATGCCAATGGAAAAGGAGACCCTCCCTCTTCAGATGCCGAGGGGGGGGAACAGGGCGATAAAAGACCCCACAGTCCCGAAGCTGGGTAATTCGGTTGCACCAGCTGCAGGTCCCCCTCGCCCCTTTTCGTGGCTGCTTGGATCTTCCCTTCCTATGAGCCATTCCGGCGAGGAAGCCCTTTCGGACCATCTCCGAGGTCGGACTTCAGATGAGGAAGAAAGTCCCGGCGTCTTGGGCGAAAGCACACGGGGACGCTGGCCCCGTCCCAAGGAGTCCCGGAGCGGTGCCGCCGGGAGTAGCCAGCCCACAGGAGCAGCGGGGAGAGGGGCTCCCGGCGCGGAGGTAGCTGCAGCGGCGGAGGCACCCGAGGGGCTGGCCAAGCCCCCTTACTCGTACATCGCGCTGATCACCATGGCCATCCTGCAGAGCCCGCAGCAGCAGCTGCCTCTGAGCGGGATCTGCGCCTTCATCCGCCGGCGCTTCGCCTACTACAGCCAGCGCTTCCCCGCCTGGCAGAACTCCATCCGCCACAACCTCTCGCTCAACGACTGCTTCGTCAAGGTCCCCCGCGAGCCCGGCAGCCCCGGCAAAGGCCACCTGTGGCGCCTCCACCCGGCCTCGCAGGGTATGTTTCACAACGGCAGCTTCCTCCGGCGCAGGCAGCGCTTCAAGCGGCCCGCGCCCTCCGCCGCCGGGATCTTGCTCTTCCCGCCTTCCCCTAGCCCTCTGCTGCCTCCGGCGGTCGGGCCTCTGCCCGCTTGCGCCTCGCCGGCGGCGCCGGAAAGAAGAGCGGGGGCGGTCCGAGGGCCCTTGCAAGCGGGAAACGGACGCCAGGGTCCCGGGGAGGAAGAAAAGCCGCCCCTGGGGGAGATCGGCCTGCAGGGCGGCGACAGCAGCAGGTGCTCCTTCAGCATCGACAGCATTATGAAGACGGCGCCTGCCCTGGTGCAGCTGAGCGCTTGGATCCCCTCCCCTGCCACCTGCAACCCCAGCGCGGCTCTGCTCTCCCACCCGGAGCGCTTCGTAGCCTCGTGGAGGACCTTGCTGACTCCCCGCACCGGTCAGGGTCCCGCAGCGCTGTTGGCGGGTCACTCAGAGTTGATCCTTAGCGTAGAAAGCCCCTCTCCTGCCTTCTAGATCCGCGCTCCCGATTCTCTTACTGAACCTGGCCAATTGCTTGCAGACGGCAGTTTCAAGGACGTGAAGCGATCAGGGTGGTGGGGTGAAGCACAGCATCCTACATAACGAAAATGTCATCCTTCTTTCTGGCAGCAACTGGGCAAAGTCTACATGTGCCCCACATCTAAGGATCCGTGTAATGCAGTGTTCTAATATCTAATCAGAATTGCATTGGAGCTCAATTCACACCAATGGACTGCTTATTAATCGTCAACATTTTAAATACATAAAAACAGAAATAGATGACTCCGATGAAAGGGCTGAATTGATAAAGAAGTTCCATTTTATTAACAGAATGAGACCCTTTGATTTCCAGGTTTTGCAATTACCTCCTTATGGCAACATATGTTTGTGTTTCCTTCCAGCTCAACTGAATACTCATTCCTCTTTTTTCTTCCCCAAATATTGTGGGTTATTCTGGATATAGTATTACTCTAGTCCTTTTCATCTGCCCTCCCATGCTACCAATATAATGCTGCATTTCTTAGTCATGATTGTAACCACTCACATTAATGTTATATAAATCTTAACATCCAAACATGCAAGTTGATCCAAAGACAGACAAGCTCCAGACAGAGTCTTCCATTAGTTTTGTTTGTCAAACATCAACAGGTTACTTAGAGCAACTAAAAATCGTAACTCTTTTTGCTATTCCTTATGTTCTACTTTCAACTTATTTCAACATTACTCCTAATTCTCAACAACTATAATTCATTTTGAACTGAAAAGATTTCAGTTTGTATTTCTACTTTATATACATCTCCCATCCCTTAGTTTATTCTTGCTATCAAGCATCAAAAACGTATCTTGAACTACAGGTACACAATTGCCTGTGGCACAGGTGTCAAATATATGTATTTCTCATATGAACGGATTGCCCTTCTTGGAGGATAAATCAGTATGTATTATGCAATCTGTCCTAGGCCTCAAAAAGTATCTTATTTAATTTAGTTCAGTAATATATCCCACTGCAAAAATTTCAGGGGTCAGCTATTAATACAATCAATTTCTATTCCTGGAATTGAGGGATCTCATTTTATTATTTGCTTCAGACAACAAAATACAGTAGTTTGGGATTATTTTTTTCTTCGATTCAATAAGAGAAAAAAGTTCACAGACAGCAGACAGACAGACAGTTCATCTGCTGGGATAGGTGGAAAATTAAGCATCCTATTTCATCTGCTTGCTTTTTAATATCTATTTCCATCCTATGTTTTACATATGAACCTGGGAGATTTTACCAAAACAGTTATTATCTCTGCGAGACTTATGTAAAGAAAAACTATGTGTTACACAGAATCAAATAATAGATTAAGATAGCAAAAAAACCAAAAACATTTTTGTGAAATTTAGAAAGTTATCTTTTTAACGTTCTTCTCATATAAAAATTCCTCATTTGTAATGAAGTAGTAGATCAGAGAAGGAGCCATGTTAATTTTTTTGTGGTTTTTGTGTGTGTGAGTTATACTGTATGTAGGATTTTTTTTCCAATGTGGGGATAATTTTAAAAAATAATACAAATAATCACTGAGTAAGATTTTCTTTCATTCTCTTCTTGAGTGAACTGGTTATTTACTAACCTGAAACTGGTTAAGTATGTATTTAAGCCAATCATTATCTCTTAGCCCCAGACTGGGAAATCAAAAAAACATCTATATACTATCCCCGGGTAAGGCAAAATACAATCCATAACTTTCAGTGAAGAGGTTTTCATTACTCTGCAGTGGAATGATTTCAGCTGACAAACCAATCTTTTCCTGTCAGATTGCATTATATTAAGCATTTGCAGCCCCATGCTTTTTATGCAACTTCAACTTCTGTACGGCTTTTGCATTTAACATCAAGCTTCCTAATCATACATCAACACAGTTTGTAACTTACACAAGGTGTTAACTGTAAATGGCAAAACATGTCAAAGCAGTTGGAAAGTAGCTGAAAAAGGCACTTCATCCTGCAGTGGATTGACTTGGGCTAATAATGAAATCTATTATCTCTCTAACATCCATCTAAACATATACATATGCACTCACATATACCTATGACTTAACTTCATTTGGAAGTTTGTCTTGATAGCAGGCATAGAATTCATGCTCCTGAATTTATGCTAATAGTCGTTAACAAACAACTTTTTTTCAAGGTTATCACAAGTTATATTTTTATACAGTTAAACACTGTTCCAATTAAATTTGTATATATAGTACAATTCCAGTTAAGGTTATATAGAACTTGAAAAAATGTAGTATACAATGAAGATTTTTCACTCCAGGTGGTGCTATTCAACCACTTTCTCAGACATATTTTAAAAGTTTAAAGTACATACAGGCACCAAGCATCTGTTTTGGATTTCTGTTGTCAGAATACTTTTCGTGCTTGCTTTTTGAATTTTTAAATAAATCTTATTTTGATTTTTTATTACTGTGTTTTAGGATTGGTGGCATTATTGTGGATGATTTATTTAGTTTTCTCTAAGAAGAAAAGTAGCATTATTTTCTGAACATGCTGCCCAGATGCTGGTAATTAGTATGATGTTTAAAGGGAGGGAAGGGGAGAAAAAGGGTATGCAGTAGTGAGATTAACATTATGAATTTTATCTGGAATATTTGCTACAATTTTTGCAGACTTTGCAAGAAAATATCTTGGGCTGAAAATGTTTGCATTTCTACAGTACCTTTAGTTCTCTAAAACAGTAATACTTATCCTGAATATTAAGAAAACCTTAAAATTATACATATCTAATATCTGATTAATGCAATCTCAGATCAATATCATGAGATTAAAATACATATGCATGTCTTAGCATTTGTGACTGTTTTTAAAGTAATTACAAGCAGTGAATATTTTTCTGATGATTCACAAGAAATATTTTATTTTTTTCCATAGCCTTAATTCCCAGGAGCATATTGTAACATTTCACAAAGATTATTGGCAGTTATTCAACACCTAGCCTTTTTTATACACAACATTCATGCAGCTAAATTAAGAAAGAACTCAATACAGCAGTGAAATAAACAGAAGATATCCACATGTAAGATAACACAATGATGTAATGGTCATAATTGTTTGATTTTTCATTATGTGTACATGTTAAGCAATTGTTAATATAGCTCAGGACAAAATATCAGTGTTCATAATAAAAATACAGCAATAGAATTGATAAAGCTTTTCACTTGGAAGCTGGATGAAGTAGAAAATCTGGCAGATGCTAAGTAAGTTTATCTTTTAATACTTTTTGGTCCTCAGGAATAGTGCTATTTACCTTTGGTTTAAATAGAAAATTGGAAGCAGGTAAGTGTGCATTCTGAACTTACAAACACGCCTTTTCTTCTTACATGGTGAAAGGAAAAAAAGAAGCATTATTCCAGAAATTTTCTTGGCCTCTTTGTAAATCCCAAATAGTTTTCCAAAGCTTGCTTCAGAATAATTAAGTTTGGCAACAACTTTTATAAAGGACGAAAATGCACAGTAACCTTTTGCTGTGTCTCCCCACTTGCATAAATATAATGGAAAGTAAGCTTAAACTAAAAGCATTTGCTAAACCTGCCAAGAGTAGAAATTGAGCAATCTGATACCTTAGTTTTCAAACATGATTTATGCATTGTGGCAGTTCCAATGCTCCATATGAACTGACTGAACATCCTAGAATTTGTTTCAGAGTTTTTTCCAGTATGCAAGACTTACATTACAAATACGGTAATGCATTGCCCTACCCTTTGCTGGATTTAGTGTTAGATTTAGTGCTGGTGGTTTATCTGAAAGTGACGAATTGCTCATTTCCCGAAGATATTGTACCCATTCAGGTTAGCTGTCTTATAGCTTCTTCATGTTTTGTCATCATACTTATAGCATATACTTACTTGTAATTTCCATTTGGTATTTTTCTCCAAATACTGGTAGTCCTTATTAACTGAACTGCCTTGTTATCAGTTACAACTGTGACGAAAAGTAATTTTACTACCAATCCTTGCATTCACTACCTCGACAGGTCTGTAAAGCAAAGGAAAGCTGAAATTACATTGTAAGCACAGTTGCAGCTTCACTTAGCAGCTGCTTCACTTAACTCTGAGTTATCAATCTAAGTGTGGTCGCTAAATGAGGACTTCCTGTAAGCATAGTGGTGTACATAAGTTTAAGATCAAGTATTTCAGCCAAACAAAGCTGTTAAGCAAACTGCAAATAAATAATTCCTATTTCTTGACTAACCGTTAAAAAGGTCAAATTGGTCTATACAACAGTTTTTCAAGGTCCTTTACCCCCTTTCCCTTCTTGTAAGCAAAGGCACCCACTGAGTCAAGAGATTTCACCGGTGATTAAATGTATATCACAATGTACATTAAGCTCATCCTTTACATAAGTACATACAAAACATTAGATATATACAAAAATAGTGGGGACATCACAATCCTTTCCAGTATTTGCTCCCTTTGTGTGCATCCATGTTCTAACAGACATGCAGTGTTTCATAACAGTATCCACACTACTCCGTTCCACAAACTAGCATATAATATGAAACTGGATTAACTAAACCATGAGGTTAACCGTGGATAAGTATGGTGCACAAATACCACTCCAGCCTGTGACTTTATATGGAGTAAACCTGGTGAATTCCCTCCTGCAGTGTCTACAATCAACAGCTGACTGACCAAAGCTTGCTGGTTAGAATTCCTGAGGTATATGTTTATCCCATTTAAATATACAGTAGAAATACTTATAGTATTTAGGAACATACATAGAACAATATGCTTATCTTCCCTTAGCATGATGAGAAACATTGTTTTATGTCAATGTGTTCTTATTGTGACGTATTTTTTTCTTCCATATTCCCTTCCAGCCAGTCTTGTCCCCAACTGTCTTTAGCATCATTAGACAGAGTAATGGATCCAAAATAGCACAGTGAGGAAGCAGTATATTATTTATTGGGTAACTTTAGATTCTGGACTTAATGGTCTTCCTGCTCTTTGGATGGTAAATTGTATTAAGCTTGGAATATGTTCTAGTTTAGACAGGGCTATCCCAATTTGGGGCTATAGTCTGAGCAGGCTGCCAGCATTAAAAAAAAAAGTCCTTATCTAAGGCTTGAAAATATTATTATAATGTAGTACAATCCTGTTGATTTGGTGAATGGAGCCCTAGGCTTTAATCTCAAAGGAGAAAGAGGAAAAAGTGATTCCTTCTTCTAAAATAAGCCATTATGGAATGGCTTCCATTCTCTGGCTGGATTTCTGATCCAAGGGAGAAAGAAGAAACAAATTCATAAAAAGAAAGTAAAAAGAACAGAAAGAGCAACAATAACAGGTGGGGTTGGCGAAGGAACAGGACAGCCATGAACAGGACAACCCATAAGAACAAGAGATGCAACACGAACCGGAATAAAATTCTGTGAAAATTAAGTATATTTTTGCTATCAGTCTTTTTTCTTCCACCTTTCTCTCCTTTCTTTGTGTCTTACACAGTGCTAACCTGAGGGTGGGGCCTGTAAAATTATTGATTTTAAAGAACCGTTGTAGGAATTTTACTTGACTGAAGAACTAAGGAGAAAATATTTAATTAATTACCATTTAGAGACTTTTTGTTTTCTAACACATAGGAGCCGCCTACAGTATTAGAAAAAGAAAACCCTTAACATTGTTGTTACAACATTTTTCAAAAATGCTGACTTGAAAACCCACCTGATATCAAGGCCCAAAGTAAGGAAAAAATGGTTACTAAACCAAATCCAAGTTATAAAAGGAACCCAGCTACACTGTCACCGCTGATGTGTCATGCGATTGCTTGGAAATACATAACCTTTCATCCTGGTGGATCCCACTGTCCTAACAGAACACTGTCCTAATGCTTTTAGCTTAGGATCATGTGGCAGTGGGTCTATGAGCAAGCCCCCTTTTACACGGGTATGGGCTGCGATTCCCGCCCAGAGCTCTCTTTTAGCTGATCCTAACGAGCAATCCCAACCAGCAAGGCGAGAAGCGCGCCAGGCTGATCTATCTATAAAGGGCTGGGGCGGCTTTGTGCAAAATAGAAAGCTGGAGGACTGACAGGATGTGATCCTCTGGAACAAATGTCTTTTACACACAGAGAGAGAGAGAGACGCCCCAGCCTCTAGTTACATCTCTGGCAGCGCCCAACAACTCTCAGCTTCGCTTACCGGAGTTATTACTGGCCGAGGCGGCCGCCTGCAAAGAGGCTTTGGCAGCCCCCTCGTGTCCTTCTTCGAAAAGGGCAGCTGGCTCGTCCCGGAGGACATTGCAGAGTGGGAGAGCGCGGGCAGGGCGGCTGCGAGCGCTCCGGGCGGGAAGAAGCCTCGGCTTTTCGTTTTCCTGAAGCGAATTTGCTCTCGGCATCATGCACAGCTACAGGACGGCGAAGCAGAACCAGGATTAAGGCGGGAAAAGAGGCGCGGTGGGGTGGCTGGGCAGGGCGGGGCGGCGCTGGGAACTCATCCTTCTCCCGAAGGGAGAGCCCCGGGCAGAAGCATCGCCACGCCGACCGAAGGAAGCTCCTAGCCGAGATCCCGTGCGGGCTAGAAGCCGAGCGCCATGGAGGGGAGTCCGATCCCGGTACTCACGGTGCAGACGGTCCCGTACGAGGACCAGAAGCCGACGGGCGGCGGAGGGCTGAGGAGACCCACCGCGATCTTCGAGGGGCAGCGCAATTACTTGCCCAACTTCATCCAGAGCCTGCTCTCCTCCATCGACCTGCGCGACCGTCAGGGCTGCACCATGGTGGTGGGCAGCGACGGCAGGTACTTCAGCAAGACGGCCATCGAGGTGGTGGTGCAGATGGCGGCAGCTAATGGGGTAAGGGCGGCGGCTCCTCGTCCCTAGGCTCCTCCGGAGCTTCGTTTGAAGGCGGACTTTCTCCAGCGGGATATTTGGGGGATGTTTCCCCCATACTTCTAACTCGGGATGAGGATGAGGATGGAATTAGGGCAATATGTCCTTCTAATCTATTTTGGGGAATTCTGAATTCAAAAAGAGTTTGGATCCAGTTGATCTTGTAAACCAATTTATAAGGTCAATTGGATCCGGTTTCCTTTTGAATCTTAAAGTTGCCATTATCCTAATGGATACCGGATTGGATCCATAGGGTAATAGATCTGCAGCCCATGATTTATTCTATCACATCCTATTACACTTGGGTATGATATATTTTCTGTCACATCCCATCTGCCCTATTATCTATGGCTTCTATGCAGTTTATTTATATGTATAATGCCCCATCCTTTCCTCTGTAGAACGGTTTGCTAGCCTGCCCTTCATTGCCCCATCTGTGTAAGTTCATGATTGTTGCAATGATAAAATTGTGCTACAGGGCTTGGTCTACTGACTCGTTTGTTGTGAGTGTTAGAGAACAGCTAATTGATAGTTTACAGTTTACTGGGCTCTATTTTGGAAGCTCACTGTGTTTGACATATTGAGTTGAGTTTGACATATTTACTCCAATACTTTATGAAAAAAATGCAGTGGTTTTTCACTGGGTTGTCTTGCCATCCACCACATCTATCAGATTGTTCCAAAGTCTTTGTCTTAATTTCCCCCTCTAGTTCAGTGACCCATTGCTTTTATTATTTACTCCATCTGCCTGATCATATAGTTTGCATATTGCATGCTTTCCTCTGTACTGCCTTTTCATGATTTAACGAACTACAGTACAAGACCATCAAAAATTTAGCTTAGCATATTGTGCAAACTCAGTCTGTATGGTTAGTTCAGTGTGTTGTATGAAACCAGGAAGTTGTGTTAATTAAGCAAAGTATGTGGTGAAATACATATAAGCATATTGTGTGAATTCAGCCAGGAATCACTCTTGTAATTTATTTATATTTCTTTAATTTCATAGAATAAGATGGATTTGAAATCTGTGAGGTGAAAAGTTACAGTTTCTCAAGCGTGGTTACCTACATTCCTTTAGTTTAAAAGTAGTTCCATCATACCAGTAAATCTATTTAGGAAGAAATGTGTGCACTTAGACATAATTAAGGCCGATTTACAAGTTTAAAACACATAATAATTTCAATATGCAAAGGATATGTTTAATATCCAAGCTATACGTCTCACATTATTGCATTTTTGAAGGCCATGTAATATATTTCTGAGTCAGTGACATCTGCCTGACCTTTTTCTTGGCTTGCAGAGAATAAGGAATCTCCCTCTGAAGAGACAATAGTAGACTTGCTGTGGGAAAGTATTGTAGGCAAATCTGCCTTGGAAGGAAATTAGAACATTGAGCCAAATCCTCTGCAAACATCTTTCATGCTTTTACTGAAGAATTTTAACATGGTCCTGGTTATGCTCTTAACAAAGAGACAGATAATCTAAAAAGGAGTGCCCACCATTTGTATTTTCTACTGATAATAAGAAACTGGATTTGACGGTGCACCTCTTGGCACCTCAGTAGATTGCTCACTTCCAAAATTACAAAAAAAAAAAGTTTATGTTTACAGAATAGTCTATATAAACCAGATATAAACTTGAATGGAGTAATCTGAAGCTAGTGGATTGTAAAGAGCAAAGCACAAATTGGAAATAAAGGAGATTAAAAGCTAAAACAAGCAAGACCAAACAGGCTGATAATTAGTGATTTCCAAGGCTAAACCCGATCTTATCTGTAGGATTTTATCAGAGGAGTTGGAAATGCAAATCCTGATGTCTCTTTCTCTTTTGCTCCTGATTAAGACACAAACATGCCCCACCCCAATGTTTTTTTCTGTCATGTTTTTATGTTAATTTTTCACTGCTAGCCTCATTCCCAGCTCCCAGTTATGCTTTTTTCTGGCTGGTTGCTGAGTTTGGTCCTCTGTGTCCAATTTGGCCTGGGCTTCAGAGTCATCCCCTTGATAATGCCTGACTGGTGCTTTGCATAGAACTTGTCAGGTCTTGCATGGGTTCCTCGTACAGTAAATAAAGAACAAATCCTTGTTGCACGGAAGAGTTAGAACCCATTGGTCTAAGCTATTGTCTATACTCATTTCGCCCACTTAGACAGAGTGATTGATGGCCCACAAGTAACACTTGGAGGAATGAGAATCCATACATCCTTTGCCTTAACCTGGTACATAATAAATAAGGATAGGGCAATCCAGTGACATTGTTTTATGGTAGAATGGGGATCTGAATGGGGCCAGTCAACATTGTGCTGACATATTGTTTTGCTGACTGAAAAACTGCTGGAGAGCATATTAATTCAGCAGTGAGGAAGAGCCCCGATTGGAATAGTTCCTGAAAAATATTTTAGCTAGCCTAAGATATAGCTGATCACCCACACAGGGTATAGTTGTTCCAGTAGAGTCTTTCTTTATCCCTTCCAATTACTTGGATATTTTGTCATATTGTACAGTATCAGCACTATATGCTGTGCATTTTGGTGCCTCCAGGTTAAATATTCCAAATTGTTGACATTAAAAAACATCTAACCTTTTTCTCCGTTGTATCACATCAGACTTAACCTTCCCCACAAGATATATTATGTGGACAGATCAGAAGACTGTATTGTAATAATCAGTGCTGTTTTCTAAAAAAAAAAAAAAAAAGGTGCCGGAACTCACACACATCATACAACCCACCTTGCCTACCCTACAAGGTTCCATCCCAAAAAGGTGCCAGAACTCCGTTCTGGGCGTTCTATGAGAAAAAAAACCCTGGTAGTAGTAGTAGTAGTAGTAGTAGTAGTAGTAATAATAATAATAATAATAATAATAATAATAATAATAATAATAATAATAATACTTTCCTTGTGATTATTTTCTCATAACTGCAGGTTATAGTGCTGCTATTTTGATATCACAGTAACTTGGCTTCACAACCATTTCCTTATCAAATGCCATCATAATTTAGAATTAGATAAATGTTTGTTATATTCTTGAAAAATATGTCTTGTCGTGAATGCTGAGACTTTTTTCTTTTAATCTAATCTTGTTAAATTTGTTGAGGAAAAAATATAAGTGAGGGAAACAATCTGTTCTTAGTTGTGGAATGTGGGAAAGGGCTGAAAAACATGCTTTGTATGGGAAAAAAATTCCATGTTTGATTCAGAATCATGAAAACATGCCTCTTATTTGACTATTTGCCAGTAATGACAGTTATGAGCCAGAAGTTTCAAAAATACAGTATTATTTTTTATAAGACAGCTTACTTTCAGTTTCAGTGCACTACAGTATTTGATTATAATGGAAAAACATTAGCTGGTTCATACATTGCATTAAGCAGTGTTTCTCTGAATTATGGATTATTGATTAAATTACAGTAGGCCAGTTTCACACAGTGAGGTAAGCCAGGAACACTAGTTCAGAAACCAAAATGGATAATATCTATGGAGATTCTCAATCCAGATCATGGTTGTCCCAAAAGGCAACTGAATTTGGGGTTTTTTTTTTTTGAAAACATTTTGCTTCTCATCCAAGAAGCTTCTTTAAACAAGCCACATTAAGTGATATGAACTTGGCCGTTATGAAAAATATATAAGGAATACAAAAACAAAAATTTGGTAGCATCTGAGATGTAATCTTTTTGTCTATGTATGTATCAAAGTTAATTTATTGATTAAAATGTATGACAATTATGAAACAGGTTGGTTGAAGAAGCAACTCTTAGACTTTTCCTGAACAAGTCATTCATATAGAATTTTATGTGACTATGTGTTTTATATTTTTCAAATAATATATGTGATATTACAATTCTGATAATAGTGCTTTGACTGAATACTGTAAACAGAAATATTTTTAAATTCCACTGAAATGTATTAAAAGTCAAGGCATTTTAAGAGTTAGCCTTTTTTTAAATAAACTATGTCACTTTAATTTTAAGGCAAGACACAGAGAATTTAAAAAAATGGTTTATTTGAATGTATAGGGTTTGTGAGCTCACACATTATAGGCATTCTGGTCAAGTATGCCTTAAACAATTTCGCCTATATGTCCCAGTCTCTTCAGCTCATTTTTATTTTTGTTAAAAGAAAAAAATATAGCCCTTTGAGAAATATGCTTCTACAATTTGTGAAAAGGAATTGCATATTTAAGAGCTCCTTTGCACATTAAAAAATCCTCACAGCTAGACTGTAAATGTCTGTTCACCAGTGTGTTTAAAATCTATACATTTTTGTTATTTTAAGAATGTTTTCAAAAGTTGAAATTAGTAGAACAATATTTAAGAACAGGTTGTGCTTCATGATATTCTACAAAATTGTCCAATCAAAATGCACACTCTTGTCAGATCTTTCAACAGATGGCTAGTCTTTCAGATCCTGTCTGTGTTCAAAGCCCATAAACCAGCAAGACACTTTTTTTAAAATTGAGGATGCCGTCCTGATCATACAGTACATAACGTAAGGGATAGTTATTTTAATAGCCAAAGGGATCCATGTGAAGAAAGTTGAATATGTTCATGGCTTAAATGCTTCTAATACTTAGAAGTACAAAACATTTGAGTAGTCACATTCTCAAGGGATAAACGCTTGGGGTTTTTTAATAGAATAAAACAACTGATTATATAGCAGTTGTAAAGTTAGTAGTACAGTATGATAGAACAGTTAATTAACATCTACTGCATGTTAAGCCTTCCAGGTTTAGCCAATTTTTTCCTGCTTCTATTAAGATAAGGATAGAAAATTGTATTTTGTATAGAATGTTATATTCTTGGAAGCTCTAGTGGGGATAGGAATGTTCAACAATCTCATTGTGAAGTTGTCTTCCTTCAGTTTTAGATTATGTTTTCACTTTGCATCTTCAGCCAGTGCCTCCACTATGACCTCGGTTCACCAGATAGAGAGGCATTCAACCCAGTTTGAAAATTGCCTGTTCTAT